GTGCTATCAGCGCTCTGTAGTGATACCTTAGCTGCGGAACGACCTGAAAGTGGGAAGGAAAGCAAGAGAAATCTTAACGAAATTAAGGTCTTACCCTTCAACAGGGTCGGATGTGGTACGATGGCGAGAAAGGGCGGTCAAAGAAGACAAAATACGCGAGAGAGCACGTCGTTTGAGAGAGCACGCTGATCTCTACATCAATGCACGCTGATCTCACCACCTCTCGCGGTGGGTGGGGAGCGTTGGAATTGGGTGATTTGTTGCCGGCCCGTAAGGAATAGCGCCCTAACCGCGCAATTTTCGCGACGAAGCTGGAGTGATCTAGGTAGTTACAGACCTTGCAATTTTCCCTAGTGGTATCCCTCTCGAGCTGATCTCAGGATTTGCTTTAAATGTTATTCGGGATTCCATGACACGCCTGATATGAGGAAGAAGGCAGGGAGAATCCTTCGTTCGGACTGTTCAAACTGAGGTCGTATTTGCAATTTTTGGATAAGTACCAATCTGTCTTGATCACCTTTTCGAGCTAAGCCAACGAGGTCGTAGCTGGGAATTTGAAAGGTCATGGTGCTGAGATAGGGAGTAGATTGTTTTTCAAGGGTTCTTCTGAGTTCTGGAGAAACTTGACATAATAGGCATGAATTATGCAGCCCTAAAAGAGGAGGTGGGTGAAAGATGAAGAAATTTGGGTTGACCCTGAGCGAAGCTGATGTAGTGGCGAATAACATCGCGTGACAAAGTCTCCCTAACAGGCACTGTTTCAGGTGAACTTTCTGTTCTCTCGGCACTTCCCGTCATGTTACCTGATGGCTGACGGCACAATTGACCGAGTGGGTAAAGTGGTTTGAAATTACTAGAGCATCAAGAGTTGGACTGTATTCGCCTATTTATCTGACCAAAACGCTTTCAAATTAGAATGGAGCTTTGAATTGATACATAGGTAACTTGAAAGAAATGAAAGGCTAATTATAATACAACTGTGGAGGTCAAAACTGATTTTCGTATGGGTCTCAAATCAAACTTCCATTGGAGCTTAAAGGTCTTTGCTGGTGAGGGTGCATCAGTATTTTGTACTAAAACAAGAGCTTTTCTAAGGCTATCTTACAGTGCTCAACTAACTTTTTTGAATTTGAAACGTCTATTTTGCATCGAAAAATGGTCCTATTTCTTTCGAAAATGAAGGTGGAGTTGCGAACCGGAAGAGAATTGAAAGAAGGAGAAGAAACAGCCACTGAAAAGGGTTGAATTTTGTACTGTAGTGAGCCCATGTGAAGTAGCCCTGTACTTTCGATGGGCGCTTACTACTAGGAGGTCCATGGGACGCAATTCGGGGTCGCTTCCGAAAACGGAACCCCTTATTCTACTCCGGGATAGCGTGGCTAACCACCTGGAGGTCTATCCTAGCCCACACGGCAGAGCCTGGCAAGCTCCCGTGTGCCTTCAATATGCCGAAAACAGCAATATGGATGGGCCTCATTCCCCTGAACCTGAGGGAGCCCCCAATACGGCAGCGTTGGGTAGGACCGCTCGGGAGAGGCTGCTAGAATCTCAGGGCCCGGATAGGCTGCCTAAACGAAGAAGGACTAAGATGGCGATCTGTACTTTCAACGCACGAACGCTTGCATCCGAAGCTCACATCGAAGACCTGATGATGCAAGCCAGGAAGATCAAGTACGACGTCATCGGACTGACCGAGACGAGAAGGCACCGCCCGCTACACGCCGTTTTCGATACTGGAGAAGAACTGTTCCTGGAACATGCGACAGTACAAACGTTGGCGGTGCGGGTGTTCTCGCCAAACAATGGCATTGATTCGTACGAAGGTCTCCGAATCGGACGTTTGAGATTGAGAAAATCCACTCCTGCCTTGATTGAATTATTATTGAATTAAATTGATTTGAATAATTTCTACAAGGAAGATCATACCTTCTTCAAGGTCATCGTCGGCGACTTCAACGCCAAGATTGGCCCAAGAAGAACGGCTGAAGAACTTCACATCGGTACTCACGGAATGGATTGGAATGAGCAGGGCGAAAGACTGTCTGAGTTCATGTCGACCAACACCATCCATGGTAACTCACAGTTCCAGAAGCCCTCTCACCTTCGTTGGACTTGGGAGTCACCTGATGGACAGTTCCATAACGAGATAGACCACATCATCTTCAATCGAAGGTTTTGCCTGACCGACGTCGCTGTTGTTCCAAAGTTCTACACGGGATCGGACCATCGTCTCCTCCGCGCAAGATTCCACTTCTCGATGCGTGTTGAGAGCAAAGTTCAGGAAGCGAAGCCCCAGGACAGTCATCAACTGGGACCACTTCGCTTCCCTCGTCAGCTTATGGGAGGATTCCGTCATCGAAAACATCGACGAGGAGTACTATCGGCTCGTTGAACATCTTCACGATTGTGGCAGGAAGGTTTGAAAGTCACCAAGGGACGTCTGTCTCCGGAAACTCTCGAACTGATACGCCAGCGTGGAGCCGCACGAGCTGCAGGCAATCACCGACTCACGTCCGAGCTTGCGAAGCTATGCAGAGAGGCGATAAAGGAAGATCTCAAGGAGCGAAGAGCAGCAGTATTAGCTGAAGCAGCAGAGGCTGGGAGGAGCATCCGCAATGCCCGCCGAAGCTTTGCCAGCTACAAGACCAAGATGACCTGCCTCCGACGTCCGGATGGAACAGTTACTGCATCCCGAAGGGCAATGGAGAAAGTCATCCACGACTTCTACTCGGATCTCTTCGATAGCCATGTCCATCTGCCTACTTATCAACTGCAACAGGATGGATACGTCGTCCCTCAGTTCTCTCTTCCGAAGTCCGACACGCCATCAAGTCGGTGAAGAATCGTACAGCACCCGGTCTCGACAGGGTCAAACCGGAACATCTGAAGAATGCACCGCCAGTTATCATCAAAACTCTGGCTCGACTCTTCACGCGCTACCTGTCGGAATGCAAGGTACCCACTCCGTGGAAAACCAGCAGGACCGTGTTGCTGTACAAGAAGGGAGACCTGGACGACATTGGCAACTATCGCCCAATCTGCCTGCTGTCTGTAATCTACAAGCTATTCACTCGAGTCATCCTTAACAGGATCGGCAGAATACTGGATGAAGGACAGCCATGCGAGCAAGCAGGGTTTCGAAGAGGGTTCAGCACGATCGACCATATCCACACGGTTACGAGACTCATTGAAGTTTCACGAGAGTACAAGATGCCGCTTTGTCTCACGTTCATCGACTTGAAGAAGGCCTTCGACTCTGTGGAGACAGAAGCGGTCATCGAAGCCTTGGGCAACCAGGGCGTCCCTACTCAGTACATCAAGATTCTTCGTGAGCTCTACAGCAACTTTACGACCAGAATCTCACCATTCTACAAGGAGGTCATCATCGACGTCAAGAGAGGGGTTCGACAGGGCGACACCATCTCGCCCAAACTCTTCAGCGCCGCTCTCGGAAGCGTGCGTCAGTTGGGAAACAAGTAGCCAGCAACCACACCACCTTAGTCTTGCTGAATGACTCAATTATAGTTCAATACAAAATCAATAATTTTATTACTGAGGCATCGTTCTTATAACGCCGAACATCGAGCAAGCGGAGCGAATGCTGGCTGATTTCGACTGCGCCTGTGGTAAGGTCGGTCTACAGCTGAACCTAACGAAGACGATGTTTATGAGAAACGGATTGGTTCCTGATGCCCCATTCACGCTCAACGGAACGAACATCACCGAATGCTCCAGCTACGTGTACCTAGGTCGGGAAATCAATATGATGAACGATCTAGCTCCAGAGCTGAGCAGGAGGAAACGAGCGGCTTGGGGAGCGTTAAGAACATCGAGGGAGTAGTGAAGAAGACGAAGAACATCCGGCTCCGTGCCCACCTCTTCGATTCCGCTGTCCTTCCTGCCCTAACCTACGCCTCAGAGACTTGGACTCTGCGCAGGCAGGACGAGCATGCGGTCAGCGTTATCCAACACGAGGAGTAGTGAAGATGACGAAGAACATCCGGCTCCGTGCCCACCTCTTCGATTCCGCTGTCCTTCCTGCCCTAACCTACGCCTCAGAGACTTGGACTCTGCGCAGGCAGGACGAGCATGCGGTCAGCGTTATCCAACGCGCTGTCGAGAGGACGATGCTAGGAGTAACCCTATACACGCAAGTGCAGAGGGGAATCCGGAGTTCCGAACTACGCCAACGATCGAAGATCAGGGACGCTGCCGTTTTCGCCAAGGAATCGAAGATAAGGTGGGCCGGACACGTCATGCGATTTTGCGATGACCGTTGGACCAGAGCGGCAACCGACTGCGTCAATAAC